GAACCTCCCACAGGTCTAGCCAGTGCGGTCACCTGTGCGGATGACGTATGGGCAGGTACCTCCACCCCCAGACCCCCCACGCTGAGAGTACCACTCACGGAGCTGCTGGGGCGAGGGAGTCTCGCCGGGACGCTGCTGCTGCTGCCTCTGGCCACCGCCGAACCCCCCACGCTGCACCGCTCCACCGCGCCCGCCACCCGCTCCACCGCCGCCACCACTGCCACCACCGCCCCCACCAACCCCACCACCGACGCCGCCACCACCCCCTGTGCCGCCACTGACCCCCCCACCACCCGCACCACTCCCACCTCCGCCACCACCCCCGCCCCCCCCACCCCCTCCACCGCCGCCGGCCCCGCCTCCACCTCCACCACCCCTGCCCCCCTTGCCCCTGCCGCCCTTGCGCCTCCCACTAGGAGCAGACGCAGCCCCGACCCCCTCAGCTCCGAGGTAGTCGACAGCAGCAGCAGATGCAATGGAGGGGAGGAGGGGGGAGGGTGAGCACCCCTCAAAGAAGGGGGAGCGGGGGTCACCACGAGAGGCACCTACAGCTACAATGCTCTTCTCAGCTGCTAGGAGTTCCTTCTCGAGGAGGTCGACAGTGAGGTCAGTGGGGGAGAGGGCGAGAAACTGGTCCCTGACAGTGCGAAGGGAGTCAGGGAGGCGGGTGACAAGGTGGTACAGTGTGAGGTACATCGGGGGGGGGGGGTTCTTGGCGAGGAAATCGGGGGGGAGAGCGGCACGGTAGCGGAGGTCACTGGTACAGAGGTGGGTGATGAGGTCAGCTACAGTGGCAAAGGCGGACAGGTCGGGGAAGAGGTAGGGCAGTGAGAGACGGCCTATAGCAGCAGTGGCAGGGGAGGAGTAGCGCGCGACTACTGCGTCGTACAGCTCCTTAGCGGTCTTATGCTGGCCGAAGTGCTCGCGCTCATCTAACGGAAGGTGGCTGCGAACGGCTAGGCGAGCATGGGCATCACGGGTCTGCCACTGGGAGCGAGCAGTACTGTCAGCAGTAGTGGCAGGTGCGGGAGCGGCGCCTGACGTGTGGTCATACAGGGAGACATCGTCCTTGGCAGTGATCTGGAGGAACAGGTGGAGGTCATCTAACCAAACCTCAAACTTAATCGGGCGGCCCTCAGCGTCAAAGGTGAGAACAGAGGGAGTGGCCATAGTGGCAGTAGCAGCAGTAGGAAAAGTAGCAGTAGTAGCAGTAGCAGTAACAGTAGCAGCGGAAGCAGTAGTACGGCAGGAACAGGAACAGGAGTTGTTGCAGGTGGGACACAGTAGGGCGGCGCGGCTCGGCCAGGGCGGCGCGGCTCGGCTCGGACTGGGCTACGAGGCGGTGCACGACGAGGGGGGGGGGGGGGGGGGGGGGGGGGCGTGCGCGTGGGCGGCTGTAGCGGGCGGGCCGTGGCTGTGCGTGGGCCTAACTAGCGCGCGGGCGGCGGCCTAGAGGGGCGTCGCGGCGGCCTACGGGCGGGGCTGCGACGCTCTGGGCGGCGGTCGACGGGCGGCTAGGGGGCTGCTCGTGGGCGGCGCCGGTCGCGCGGTCAGCTAGGGGCGGCGCGCGCTCAGAAAACGGCCGCGCGTGGGCTGCTAGCGGGCTACGCGCGCTAAAAAAAAAGGCCGCGCGCGGCACTAACGAGCTGCGCACGGGCAGCAGGAGGAAGAGAGGCGCACAAGGGCGCACTAGGAGAGAGGCGCTCGAGGGCGCTAAGTAGATACGGCGCTCAAGGGCGCTTCTAGTGGTGGGCCCTTAGGTAAGCGGTCCTAGGACTAGGACCTAAGCTCTGATACCATGTTAGAAACAAGAAGTGATTTGAACTATGAAACATGTGAGTACAAGTATGAAAACCTAGAGTTTGTGTACCCCCTAAAGGCTAACCCACTATAGCCTACACAGCAATAACATATATATAATGTTTGACACGGGGTTGGTGTCACAAAATTTGCGCGCATGCCACTGGCTTGTGATTGGTCAAACGAATCTGTCGCATGTTTGGTTTGGGTCACACGACCCTAAAATGTCCTCGCACAGCCCACGCCCAATTTCACACATGCCGGTAAAATTCCCGGCCCAACCAAACTTATCATTGGTCGAAACCAGGCAGGAATTCCCCTGCGCAAGACCCCGGCTACCAGGGTCACCCATTTTCTCGATTGAGCGGCATGTTTACTAGTTGCCAACGATTACTTCACAAAGCCAATGGGTGGGTAACCGACTTGGCGGCTTGAGTGGTGTCGTCCATGTATTGTTATTGGTTGTTGCAATTCGTGGGCGACTGTCGCACAATCTGTTTTGGTTGCCACCAACTTCGAGCCGTGCGCGACTCGGGCTAAATGTTGATGGCATGCGGGTTTCCCGCATGTCATCAACAGTGCCTGCTACAGTGGCCCTGCCACCACCCAGGGATACGCCCTGATACTCCGCTCGAGCCAGGACTTTGGACGTGAGGTCAACTTAAGGGCATTGTTCTGTAGCCATCTTGGGAGGGAAGGTAAGAGACAGTGAAGAATCTTCCAACGACGGTTCCATTCCCTTACCTCGCCCGAACCTCTCTACATCAGCAAAAGTGTCCAGTCGCCAACAGTAGAAAACGAGCATCAGTGCGCTATGACGTCAGCTGGAGGGAAATTTCGCGAGAAAGGGAGGAAGCTGCAACGGGAAGCTACGAAGCCACACCCACAATTGCGCAAACTTTGAAGGGGGCTGTACACTCGCCCTTGCATACAAAACAGGGGTACGAAATATTGGGCTGGGTGTGCTCTTTCGCAAAAAATGAGGGAGAAGCTCTTAAATCAGAGCAGGTTGGTTGGAGGTTGAGCAGCACTTCTAGCATATCTACCCGGGATTAACCTGTCGAAAAGCACACGTGGGTGTTTTCACGGGTGAAGTAGTGGGTGTTCCCTAGCGCGCTGCTTCTGTTCCATGACAGAAGTGGTTCCCCCCAAAGGGTGGTATGCGGATGGGTAGGCGAGAGAATTTGGGGTTGCCTATGAAAGAAGGTGGGTTCGCAGCTTCCTCCTTACCATTTCCGTGACGAAAATGTAGCGTTCTGCAGTACTTCCCCTCACAGTGGTTTGGACGGCAGTCACTTCCCTCCAGGGAAATGCCCCACAAGGAAGGTTCCTATTTCCCCTCACCACCTTCCTCCTCTGGCAAATTTGTTTGCCTTCGCCCCGCCATCGGCCACCCACCCTTCACGGGGAAGTGCGACGGTGACAGGAGGGAGGAGCTGGGCATGGGAACACCAGCCTCCCACCCAAAAAAACGCCAAGAACAACACGGTCTAACCCAACCAAGGTGGCACCTCCCAAATCGTTAAAAAAAAAAACACACCCCAACCACCTTTGCAGTTTTGACCGCTCGAAGTTGGTCCAGTGGCTGATATGTGCTTTGGGGCTCGTTTTTTTGTATAAATTACCCACGCGCAACGAAGTACCCTGGAACACTAAACACTGGATTTATCCCTCTGATGGGCGCGCGAAATTCAGCGCGCAGTTCATCATTTCCCTTGGGAAACTACCGCCCCACGATGTTCATCATTTCGCATGTTTGCCCAGGGGGGGAAAAGCGACCTCGGAACCCACCTCGGAACCCTCCTCATTTCCCTCCTCCCTCCCTCCTCCCCCAATTGTCAAGTGCCTACAGAACGATACCAATGGCCCTGCTCGACAGGCATGCAAGCCCTTCCGCGGAATCATCGCGGTTGTTTTGACTTAGGGGTTTTTTCCACGGTCAGCCCGTAATTTGGTGTCACTAGGCTTTAATGCTCTGGAACCTGAAGGGTTAAGGGTTAGCCTGTCGAGCGCGACGTTAACCCTTCAAGTTCATCCCCCCCGAAAGCTCCAAGGCCCTTCTCTCACACACAGACTTTAGCCTAGCTCTAGCCCAGCCCTCGAATCCCCAGGATGGAGGTTGGCCAAGGGCTAGGCTAGGGTTCCATATGGGAGGGAATACCCACCCCATACCCTACAAAACTTTTCCCACCAGGACCCATGCTCCAACCATTCTTATCTCTGCCCTGAAAAATCTTGACGCGTTAGAGATGTGCAGGTTTTTTTTTCCCTTGATTTACCCAGGTTCCCATGCCGTGCGGTGCAAAATTTCGGACCCTGCCCACGATGAAGATGGTGGAAGGAGGGGTAGCAACTTCGCCATGATGACCCCCTCCTTCCGACCTCGAGAGGCGTTACTTCGAAAACTAGGGGAAGTTACTTCGAAAACTCCTCCTAGCTCTAGCCTAACCCTAGCTCTCCAAGGAGGTGCCTGCCTGTCGAACAGAGCCAATGTTCAAGCTGCCTCCCGCTAATCCCTTTGTTTCTCCCCCCTTCCTATGCTGCTGCGCTTCTCTACCCTTTCCCGTACCGCACAGTAACTTCCGCTGAAAGTGCTAGCCATAACTCACCAGCTCGTTTCCTGCTTAGGGCGCATGTCTTTTGGAGTGTATTTGAAAGTTCATGATTATTGTTCAACTTTCTCCAGTTCAACTTTGGTCGTCATGTGGTCGACCATCTCGACTTTTGTAGGTCGGGGAGCAGCATCAACAAGCCCGAGTCGCGCATGGAACAACAAAATTCGACTATCAAAGTTCAACTTAAAACAGTAAATTCGAGTCGCGCTAAGGTTTCGTAGGTTACCTGGTTTTGGGGTGCAGTTCGTCACCTTATCCGGTTTTGGTAACCAGGCTCTATGAACCTCGTTACAATCGCAAACCTCGTAGATTCTTCGTGCGTGCGCAGAAGAACACACGATCGCATAAACGTAGACGTAAAATCCGAATGCAAGGTCGACTTTAGTTCAGTGTCCAACTTCTTTCACACAGTTTGAAATAGGACACACGATATCCTGGCGAATTTTCTGGCGATATTTGCGAAAAGGGTACCAGCAAAAGTTCAACCATTTTTCCGAACTCTACAGCGAAAGACGCGCCCTTAGTAACGACGATTGCTCTTCAGAGGCACCCACCATGCCGTTCACTCGCCGTAGCTCCCTCGCTATGACGGACGACTCCCTGATCCAACGGCTCTCAGACTATCTGCTCGCGAGAATCCTCCATCTCGCCTCTGCACCCGGCAGGTTCTAGCACGCGCTAGTGTGCACGAAGTGGCGCGACGTGGCGTATCGCGTGCAGGATGTCGTTTAGCTGTGCGCCAACCGTCGCATGGATGCGCGCCGACTGCTCTCTGAGCTCTCGGCATTCCCGAGGCTCACAGAACTCATCCTGTCGGATCAGAGCCTGATATCAATTCCCAAGGGGTTCCTCTCGACGCTGGGCGCCGCGCATCCCGGGCTGATCAGGTTTCACTTCCGAACCATGTTCGATACCGTTGCGCGCATCGAATGCTTTACGGAGGAAGGTCTTTCGCGCTTCTTCCAGGGATGCACGCGCCTCGAGGACCTCTATCTCGAGTCCCCGCCGTGTCTGCCCGCCATTCCCGCCGCCATCAGCGCCCTCACTTGTCTCGCTCACCTACACCTCGCGGCGCACTCGCACCGCCTCCTGGACTCCTTCACGTGCTTGCGTGCGCTGCGCACGTGCGTACTGCACATGCCCGCCCTGCAACAGCTACCTCTGGGCTTCGGCAACCTCACGTCCCTCCAGTCCTTGCACCTCGATGCATGTCAATCTCTCTCCTCACTCCCGGAATCCGTTGGGGAGCTCACTAACCTAGACCGCCTGTCCATCAGCGGCTGCAGCAGCTTCCGCCTGCCGGAGTCCTTCCCTGCACTGGCATCGCTCAGGGAGTTGAAGGTGAAGCGGTTCCAGGTGCTCTCCCGACTACCGGATGATGTGGGGCGGCAGCAGGCGCTTGAGAGCGTGGTGTTGGAGGAGGTGGGTGGCATCGCAGGCCTTCCTGAGTCCTTGGGGTACCTGCAGCGCCTGCACTCCCTTTCCATCGACCACTGCCACCACCTCTCGTCTCTTCTCACCTCCCTGCCCGGCCTATCATCACTCGCACATCTCCACCTCAACGCGTCGAAACTCTCGGCACTGCCAGATGTCTTCGGGTGGGCCTCGAACCTCCGATCTTTTAGCTTATTCGCCGGCAGCTTCACACTCATGCCTGACTCCTTACCTCTCGCCGCGGCCCTGCAGCAGCTGGCGCTTCACAATCTGCACTCGCTCACGGCTCTTCCTCGCGACTTGGGAAACCTCACGAGCCTGCAGGAGCTGGAGATTGTGGAGTGCAGCGAGCTGGTGGGGCTGCCCGCCTTGCTGTGCCTGCTCTCGTCCCTCACACGCCTCACAGTCACTGAATGCCCTGCACTGGCAGCGCTACCACAAGCCATGGGCCTTGGCCTGCACAGTCTACAAGAGCTCACTCTCGACTGCAAGAACATCACCCACCTGCCTCCGTCATTCTTCAGCATGGCCTCGCTTGAAGAGCTGGGCATGTTTCACCTGGCGTGCGTGAGAGGGCCCCTGCCAGACGGCTTCAGCCGCTTCACACGGCTGAGGGAGCTCTCTCTCGTTGCCATGCCACACCTCACGGCCCTCCCGGCGTCGCTGGCTGCCCTCGCCCCCGCGCTCACCAGCCTCACGGTGGACGGCTGCAGCGGGCTAAGGGACGTGGCGGAGGGGCTCAGCCGGCTGACAATGCTTGAGTCGCTCACCATCACGCATTTACATAGCTTGAGATCACTCCCGCGGTCGTGTTAAGAACTAAGGCAAGGATGATGAGATTAGGTCAAGGTTTGGGTACAAGACTAGAGTGTCGAGAAAGTTTATGTACCCCCTAAGGCTATCCCCAATATAGCCTAGAAAATGATATGCATATGTTTTGACACACCCCCATAAGCGAAATGGGGGATAGCCAGAGCAAGCAACGGTCACAAGACCGGTCAAGAGAAGAAACAAAACACAGCTCAGGGTGGATCACAACGTCACCACACACACTGAGCACAAGCAAACGGCCACAAGGCCAGTCCACATGCAGAGGTATATATGCAACAAGAACAGCACAGTGATCTCTAGCTAGCAAGAGCAAGCATGCAGGTATATATATATATAGATCACAGTACAAGTAGAGACTACAGCAAGTGTGGAAACGTAGGCACAAGGCACAACAAAGTACAAAAGCGCTGAAGGTCACCAGATGGAAGTGCCTTGGTGAATATATCAGCAGTGTTGGCCTGAGTGGCCACGTGAGCAAGGCGAAGCTGACCCCGCTGCTGCAACTCTCGAGCCAGGAAGTAACGCAGAGCGATGTGCTTCGTTCTGTGCTCCTGACACAAGGCAATGGCGGCCTTGTTGTCTATGTACAGAACTGGAGGAGAACGAGGCCGCTCTCTCAGGTTGGACATCAGGTAGGTGAGCCAGCGTAACTCCTGTGCAGCCATGGCTGTGGCGTAGATCTCAGCCTCACAACTGGAGCTGAGAACAGAAGACGAGCGTGTAGACCGCCAAGAAACAGAGCCGGAGCCAAGTCTGAACGTGTAACCTTGTGACGACCGCTGTGTAGCCTGGTCGTCAACCCAAGAAGCGTCTGAGTGCCCAGTGAGGACAACTCGACTACGCCCTCCAAGCACGAGCCCCATGCCCGATGTACTGCACAAGTAGCGCAGTACCCTCTTAGCAGCATCCATGTGCACCTTTCGGTGCCGACCAGGAGCCACGTAGCGAGCCAGAAGGCCAAGAGGGTACGCAAGGTCAGGACGAGTGCAGGTCATCAGGTACATGAGGCAGCCCACTAGCTCTGGGTAAGGACCACTCGGCTCTACGGACTCGTCCGAAGGTGGAGCTGAGAGCAAGTGACCTGTAGCCAGAGGAGTGTGCTGTGCTGAGGACCAGGTGAAGCCGAAGCGCTGAAGGACCTGCTGCACCATGTGTGACTGAGTCAGTGTGATGGTGCGGCGTGCTCTGTCCCGGGTGATCTGCAAGCCAAGGTAGCTGCGCAGCTCACCCAGGTCCGTGCACGTGTGTCTCTTCTGCAGCTCCGACTTCACCAGGGCGAGAGCCTCAGTGTCAGCAGTGGCAAAGACCAAGTCGTCGACGTACACGAGGATGTAGAACGGCGGCAGCGAAGTGTCGGTGCGCAGAAACAGCGACGGGTCAGCAGTTAAAAGAGCAAACCCAAGAGCCGCAAGTGTCGTCCTCAGTGTGTCATGCCACTCACGTGGCGCCTGGCGGAGATGTCAAGTTACAAAAATATAAGTTGACTAAGGAAAAGTGAAAACAAGCAAGATATAGCAAGCATAACCCTAACCCTAGGAAAACATGAAGTACACCTAGACTAACACAAATAAGCTATAACAAATATAGCTTGACACACCCCCATAGTCTAGGTGACGGAAGTCCTGTGGAAAGCAACACACAGCAAGGGTCACAGGACCAGTTCGCAAAAAACACAACAAATCTCGGGGTGGATCTCAAGATCACCACACAGTCCGAGAACAAGCGAGGGGCCACAAGGCCAGTCCACATGCAAGGATATAGCAAATATAGAAAATGCAAGAGTACACGACAAGCATCTCTACAGAAGCACAGGGCCACAAGGCCAGTCTAGATGCATATATATATAGCAAATATAAAGAGATGCCAGAGTACAAAGCAAAGCATCTCTAAACAAGCAAGTGAGGGCCTGTAGACACAAGACCAAGCTAGGTGCAGAAACGCTGGTGGTCACAAGGCGGCAACGCCTTGGTGAAGATATCTGCAGTGTTGGCCTCAGAGACCACACGTACCACGCATGCCTGGCCACGCTGCTGCAACTCACGCAGAAGGAAGTAACGAAGCTGGATGTGCTTCGCCTTCCCAACCAGTCGAGGCTCCTCACACAACAGGACAGCGGACCTGTTGTCGGCAAACAAGACTGGGGGAGAGCGAGGCCGCTCACCAAGGTCGGTGAGAAGGAAAGACAGCCAGCGAAGCTCCTGAGCGGCCATGGCCGCAGCGTACACCTCTGCCTCACAGCTGGAACCGGCGACAGACGACGCCCGAGTCGACCGCCACGAAACAGCACCTGCTCCGAGGCTAAAGGAGTACCCCTGTGTAGACCGGCGCGTCTCCGCGTCGTCGGCCCACGACGAGTCTGAGTAACCTGTGAGTGTAACTGGCTGCTTCCCTCCAAGGACAAGTCCCATGCCTGATGTACTCGCCACATACTTCGCCACCCTCTTAGCCGCGTACCAGTGGGAAGGTCGGTGTCTCCCAGGCGCAACAAAACGCGCAAGGACGCTAAGAGGGTAAGCTAGGTCTGGGCGAGTGCAGGTCATCAGGTACATGAGACAACCCACCAGCTCAGGGTATGGACCGCTGGACTCAAATGGCTCGTCCGAAGGTGGAGCCGTGAGCCCATGGTCCACACCAAGAGGGGTGAGCTGTACCTTGGAGAACGGGAAACGAAACCGCGTGAGGATCTGCTCGACCATATGCGACTGAGTCAGCGTAATGGTGCGAGCTGCCCTGTCCCTGGTGATCTGCAGGCCAAGGTAGTACTGCAGCTCACCAAGGTCAGTGCAAGTGTGTCTCCTCTGCAGTTCCTCCTTCACGGAGGCCAGCGCGCGTCGGTCGGGAGTGGCGAACACCAGGTCGTCGACGTAGACCAGGACAAAGAACGGGGTCGAGCCACGGCGAACGAACAGTGACGGGTCAGCAGACGACGGAAAGAAGTCAAGCGCTGCAAGGGTCGAGCGAAGTGTGTCGTGCCACTCACGTGGAGCCTGACGCAGGCCGTAGACTGGTCGACGCAGCTGCCACTGGGTCCCAGGTGGAAAAGAGCCAGTGAAGCCAGGCGGGCGACGCAGCCAGATCTGCTCGTGCAGGCTCCCCTGAACGAACGCGGTGGAAAAGTCCAAGGAGTGCAACTCGTAGTCGCGCTGTGCTGCAATATGCAGCAACACCCGAAGAGTACTCATCTTCGGGGTGGGAGCGAAGGCCTGGAAGAAGTCCACCCCCTCTCGCTGACTGAAGCCTCTCGCCATATAGCGCGCCTTGAACACAGGTGGTGATCCTGGCGGCCGCTTCACCTTGTAGAGCCATCGGCCACTGACGACGTTCGTCCCAGGTGGTGGGACTGCGTCGACGTAAGTGCCTGTGGACCTATAAGATGCCATCTCTGCCTCCTCAGCTGCTATCCAGTATGAAGCCCAGGGTCCCGAGACCGCCTCGGCGTGAGTGCGAGGGATCGGGATGTCAAGAGCGTCTGGATCCCCCTCAGGGGCAAGCAACATGGCGCAGAGATGAGGAACAGCGGCCTCAAGAAAACCAAGCTCGAATTGCCTGTCCTCGAGGACCTCTAGGGGAAAAACAGGAGCACCCCCAGAGAACGGAGAACGAGCAGGGCCACTCACCAAGTGAGCGGCGTAGTCAAGGCGGTGGGAAGAGGCAAAGCCAGCGACAGTGGTAACAAGAGCTGAGACAGACGACAGGGGTGCAGTCGGGTGAGTCACCAACGCGGACAAAACACGGGAGACGACAGGACGGGAGGCACGGAGGTAGTCGGACAACGGGTCGTGAAGCACAGTGAGGGACGACTCAGGGGGCTGTGGAAGGACAGGTGGAGGTGGAACACGAGAGCGAAGAACAAGGTGGAACGGACCGTCTGCACGGTAACGGGACCGACGACGCTCTGGGGACACAACACGACTGAGGGGAGAACGACGAGTCCACTGGGACGAGGAAAGGGACTCAACAGGGGGAACAGGAGGGGACGGTAGGGGACCACGAACAAAGCGTGCAGGTGCTGGGTCGGGGAGGTCGCGTAGTCGCAGTCGCCGCTGCTCCGCCTCCTCTGGCGTCTGCTGCGACGGTACCGGCCCCTGCTGCTGCACCTGTGGCTCCGCCTCTGCCCTCTCCTGCTGCGACTGCAGCTGCACCCGCTGCTGCAACTGGGACTCCTGCACTACCCTCTCCTGCTGCGGCCGTGACTCCTCCTCTACTCTCTCCTGGTGTGTCTGTAACTGCACCTGCTGCTGCGGGCGGGACTCCTGCTCTACCCTCTCCTGGTGTGGCCGTGACTCCTCCTCTACTCTCTCCTACTGGGTCTGTAACTGTACCTGCTGCTGCGGGTGGGACTCCTGCTCTACCCTCTCCTGGTGCGGCCGGGACTGCTCCTCTAATCTCTCCTGGTGTGTCTGTAACTGCACCTGCTGCTGCGGGCGGGACTCCTGCTCGACCCTCTCCTGCTGCGGCTGTGACTCCTCCTCTACTCTCTCCTGCTGCTGCTGCTGCTGCTGCTGCTGCTGCAGCTGCTGCTGTGTCCTCTCAAACTGCTCACGCTCCTCCCTCTCCAACCGAAGGAGACGCTGCTCACGGGTCAGGAAACGTACAGTGCGCGGTGTAGGCGCCACAGTGCCAGTGCCTCCAGCTCCAGCACCCCCAGAACCAGCACCTCCACCACCGACACCCCCGGGGCCTCCAGTACCTCCAGGGCAGCCGCCAGCCCTTCCCCCCACCCCCCGTCCTCGCCACCTCCCCCGTATAGCAGCAGCCGCGGGAGGGGAGGGTCGGGGCAGAGGGTGGTTCTGCAGTGGCTCACGGTGGCCACCATATCCACACCTCCTCCCCCCCCACAGCAGCAGGCGCGGAAGGGAAGGCGACGGGGGAAGGGGGAGGGGTCCGACAGCGGGTCAGTCGGCTTGCTTGCTGGCGGGCTCGCGGGTCTGCTGGTACGACTGCTGGCGGGTCCGCGGTGGGTGATGTGCGCTGGGCGGGACGGG